GAAAGATTTATATACATGTTTTTAAATAAATTTAATTTAAATGATTTTTTTGCATAAATTTATATATAAAATTAGGTAAGTCAACTTGTTTGATTTATAAGTAACAACATTTTAAGCCCTTATATATAGACATGTCCTATGACTGATATGTATATGTTTGTATCTTATTAGTTTTAACCATTTAATTTTGTTTTGTTTTTTGCTGGTTTAAAATTGTTTTATTTGTTTTTTTTTACTTTAATATACTAACTTTTATTTTTTATTTATTAGCTTTTACAAAAAATTAAAAACTATCATGAAGCTATATTGCAAAATATATAATCTTCAATTTGAAAAATATTTGGCCATGAAAAATTGCTACTTTTTAAAAGCACTGCTAGTACAGTCGAAATAATTTAGTAGAAGAAAAGTTCACAAGTCAACAAATATTATCATACTCTTTTTAAGCAAAATAATGAAGGGGTATTTTGGGTCTCAACTATCACAAGATCTGCCTTTAGTATAATTGTCATGTCAACTCTGACAAACCATTACTATGCATTTATGTTGGCAGTGTGCAACATCTTGTTAAACTCCTGATTCAAAAATATTTTATACAAAGATAAGCTTATGAAGTATCACATAAATCAATACTTGGTAAATATTTGTCGCATAGCATTTTATAACAATAAAAAAATTTATTAATATACATTTTATTCTAACAGGTAGATTTCAAAAATGGCAGCCCTAGTCATAGTTTGGTGGAAGCAATCATGACTAATGAACTTGTGAGTTATTTTCAGAATGAACGATCAAGGCAATTCTTGCCCAAATCTGAGCCTGTATCTGCAACTGCCTTCTGAAGTTCTTCATCAATAATGCTTTCTTAAGATGAGATGAACGAATTATTTGAAGTCAATCAATATTAGTTTTTTTTTATATATATATATTTTTTTAAATTTGTATTATTTTATATTGTAATAAATATATATTATATTGCAATTTAATAAAATTGTTTTTATTGATTAATAAATATATATAATCACTTTAAATCGAATTGGTAAATTTGTAAATAAAAATATAGTTTCTAATACAATATTGTAGTTTGAACAATAGTTGACAACTTATATTATTACACTTAAAGTATATACTAGTAAATACACTATATATTAATAGATATTATATTTGATTGTTAATAGCAGAGTTATGAGTATCAAATAAATATAATACTCAATATAAATCAAATATGCTATATATTGATAATTATCTAAATATTAATATCTATTGAATATACTATATATATATCGATATTCAATAAGTATTAGCAAGAGTGATTAGTATCAATAAATATCTATCTGGTTAGTTATCGATATATATCAGCCTATTTTTTTTGCCAATATTAGGTATTAAAATAAATTAATATTAGCTATCTCTATTAATTTATAAACTGCATTTTTTTTTTTTTTTTTTTTTTTTATTAAAACCAATGTCACAGTTGCTTAACACTTTATTATATTTTTTTGTATATCTATATTGAGACATTTTTTTGGTACATTAACGAGTGTACAATTAGCCATACATACAACTTTTGATTGCCTATTTTAAGTAGTCCGCCCGAAGGTTCTACACTAGTTGCCATATCTGCAACCTACTAGAAGATTGCCTATTTAAACTCTCTGATTTTCTGTACCCACTTAGCAGTTAGCACCTAAGTTCCCGTACAACAAGTGTCATCTAACTTTTACCACACACCAATCGTGCCCGTTCAGTTCTTCCACTTCAGTTTCCTTTTTCTTGGGTTTAGCCTTTACAGTAATACCGTTGAAGATCTGTGCTACCTCTTTACTCAGGTCTTTCCAAATAGGCTTCTGTCTTCCCAGTTTTACAGATTTACACGATCTAGGGACTTATCTAGTATTTGCACCGCCTTTTACCAGTTTGCATTCCTCTGTATAACCCAGAGTTGCATGGATGCCCCAGACCTGCCAGTCTTGCTGGTGCGACCATAGTTAAAGTATCCTATCTCAACTGATTAATAAAAGACAGTTGCCATAACACAGATAATTATTCGAATTTTCCATCCTCGGTAAGTTTCGAACTCTTGACCTGCCACTTGGTGAAGATAACAACCTAACCACTACACTAGATCACCACACACCCTATAAACTGTATTTAATAAAATAACTATCTTTGTATTGTAGCATTAATAATATTCAATTATTATTTTAGTTTGAATTAGCTTTATATTGTATTAAAATATGTTTTTTAATTTTTCATAAAATATATTAAACTATCAGATAAAGTTTTTAGACATGCTTTTTTAATTATAGTAAGATGAAATCTAAAATAATATAATAATTTTGTTAATTAAATAGCTATATTTTATAGTTGATACTGTTTAAATGTATAATATAGTTAGACCTTTCTAAGTATACTCTCTGTATGTATATATACTCTCTAAATACACACTTAAGTGCTAGCCTAAATATGTATTTAACTTCTATAAATATATGTAATTCTTGCTCTTGTAAGGTTTACACAACCCCAATACTCATATTTGGACTTTTCTTTTTTCTTAGATTCTTTACTAGTCTTTTTTTTACTTCTAGCTAGCAATTTAGAAGAGTTGGTCTACCTAGGCTTTATATATCTCATAGTCTCTCTCTCTTTGATACATGCTTCCAGAGCACATATTCTTTTTCTCTGATTGGTGATCTGGCAGTTTGGCTAGTATGTTCTTCTACTAAAGAACCTAATCATTCAGTACTTTGATCTTAGTTTCTGGTTCCAAATTTAGTCTTTTTGTAGCATTGTTGAAAATTATGCTACCATCCAACTCAGGACTTGCCAAATAGATTTTTAGTTATTCTGGTTTCTTGAATTTATTGCACCAAAGCTTTAATTCTAAATAGTGTAACCAAAATTACATTAAAATCTAACCAATAATGATAGCTATTAACTATATTACAAGACTATTTTTTGAAAGTGTTGTCTATATGATTTGAACTCTAAACCTGCTATCTAGAAGTACAACAACTTTATCACTTTACTAAATCACTATACTTCCTAAATAATATTATAATATATAATATTAATATATATTTAATTAAAAGGTACAGTATTATATATATTTTAAACAATTTTATTTAAAAACTTTTTAAATACTTATTTATAATATAAATACAGTTAGATTTCTTTATATACACTCTTTGTAAATATATACTCTCTCTAAATACTGTATATATTTAAGTACTAGCCCAAATATATATTTAGTCTTTATAAATATACTTTTTTTATTAATTTCTATATACTTATTATAGTTAAATCTTTTTAAGTGTATACTTTTTTTTTTTTTAATATTTAGAGGAATATCCCAGATATAGCATTTGCTTCAAACTTTTATTAATACTTAAGTATATTAATATATAATAGTACTGTAAATACATATATATTATATATTAGTATTGAGATTATAGATAAGAATAAAATTATTTCAAGTTTTAAAACCCGAAATTAAAATTTGAAGACAAAATTGGTTTGATTTACTTTTACTTAAAAGATAAAATTTTTTAATATTTTTTTTAAATAGACAAAATTATAAAAAATATAATTATATAAATTAAATTTGCTTTTTCTTATAAAAAATTTTAATTTGCTATAATGAAGACAAAATAGACTTTTTTTGAAAACCTATTTTTATAGCATCTATAAATTATACAAATATATCTATATACAATTAAAATAAAAAGCATTATTAAATTTTGTCAGATAGATATCAAGATATTTTTGATTAAAGTTAAGAAAATTTTCAAATTTATAAATAAATTGGAAGTCAGTAGCTAGATTGAAAATGATTTTTGATTACATAATCTTGCATTATTTTTGCCATGACTAACCTACTAGCAGTTTGGCTAGTATATTCTCCTACTTATATATGTAGAAATATTATTAGCTAATTATTATAATAATTATATACAAATAGTTATATATATATATATATATAAATCTTCAAGATCAGGTTTACATACTAAGAACCAAACAAATAAGAACTCTCCAAACAAAGGACATAAGATTTTAGAAACTCCCTTAGACAAAGAAAAAGAAGAATAAAAGAAGTCTCTGCTAACAAGGGTTAAAGAGCGTCTGGTAGAGGTTTATAAAATAGCAAAAGAGACAATATGGTTACAGATCACAAATTTACTCCTCCAAGGTGGTGGTCAAAATAAAAGATAGATAACTTAGAATTCAATTTATAGGTAGCTAAGTATCTGGTTATAGTAGACCTTTAAATATAATTAGCACTATATATGGAATTAGTTGGCCAACATCAGTGCAATAACCATACTTAGGCACTTTATAAGCAGCCAGATACTAGTCTAATAAATAGTTAGATAGTTAATTATATAAATAACAAATATTTAATAAATTAGTATGTGGTTATTAAAGAAAAAAATATATATATATATATACTGTATATATATATATATATATTTTTGCAATATTTTTTGTTTAGCTTTAATAATAATTTAGTATTTTGTATTAATTTTAACTCTAACTTTTAAAAATAAAAAATATCTTTTTACTATATTTAGTATTTTTATACTAATTAGCTAACTATACAAGTAAATACTCTGATATAAGATTTAAATTTAAAAAAATAGATAAAACTAATTAGTATTCTATACTAACTATTTAATTAGATAAGCAAATACTCTAGTATAGTTATAAACCCAAATAAACTATATTATGTTTTTAGTATTTTGTACTAATTATCTATTTAGATATTTTGGCAAAGTTCTAAATCTAAAAAATAAAGTTTACTAGTTTTCTAATATTTTACCTATCTAGATAAGCAAATACTTTGATAAATTTAAAATCTTATATATAGTTATTTTGTTTGCACAAATATTTTAACAACTTTGCTAAATATTTAAAACTAATTTTTTTTTAGATTAAATATTAGAGATTAGTACTTAGTACAATATTTTTTTATTGAAGTTTAGATTAAATTTATTGTTAGTAATATATAAAAAAATACAAAATTTACAAAAACTTTTGCTTAATTTTGTAAAATTTTTATATAAAAAGCTTATATATTATACTTACCAATTTTTTTTTCTTAAAGCAAAGATAATATATATAAAAAAAAAAAGTATTTCTTTCTTAAAATAATGGTTTTTCTAAAAAAAATAATCTAGCTATTTGAATATGCTTTTATGTAGTAGTTAGAACTAGTAAACAATATTTGTCAAAGCCAAATATTCAAATATTATTTACTATATACAATATATATATTATAAAACTTTTTATTAAATATAAAATAAAAAAAAAGTTTATATACTAATTTATTTTAAAAGTTATTAAAAATTATAATAAATTGTATATATTTAATAAATAATAAAATAAATAAAAATAAGTTATATATATTTCATATAATATATAAAACTTCTATATATATTTTTTTTTAATATTAAGGTAACCTCTTCAGCTTAGAGATTTTTTATTAAGTATATGAATATAATTACAATTACAATGAGGATATATCAAGCCACATATACACTTTTGGTATCTAATTTAAATAGTTTATCTGAAGATTCTATACTATCTGCTGTACCTGCATCTCAACTACGAAAGATACATATTTATACCTTCTAGTTACAACTGCATATCTTAAACACCTAACCCTAGATATTAGCTTACTATACATACATAGAGGTTTTTGATTATTCCAGTTCCTTGGATTTATTATGCCAGAGCTTCTATTTTAGATAGCATGACTAAGGTTATAGATTAGGATCTAACTGATCGATAATAGACATTAACTGTATTATAAAGCTATTTTTCAAAAATGTCATTCATAGGA